CGATTTGAGTTACATGCTAAGTGGGGCAATAGGTAATTAATTTCAGCTTTTGGTTGTTTATCCGCATCCTCTAGTATGTTAAATGTAACTTTGCTATATAAAACAGTTGTAGCTTTAGTAACTCGTCTCTTTTTTCTTATTCTAAAGTTTTTTGTCTGATTATTTGTATTTGTAGGTGGTCCACAATTGCACGTAGTTTACCGGGAAGAACAGACAACGAAATCAAGAACTATTGGCGAACCCATTTCAAGAAGAAGACAAAGTCTCCAACTAACAATGCGGAAAAGACGAAGAACCGAATCTTGAAGAGGCAACAATTTCAGCAGCAAAGACAAATGGAGTTGCAGCAAGAACAACAGTTGCTTCAATTCAATCAAATCGACATGAAAAAGATCATGTCTTTACTAGACGACGACAACAACAACAATGGTGATAATAATACCTTCAGCAGTAGCAGTAGCGGCAGCAGCGGTGAAGGTGGTGCGTTCTATGTGCCTCATCAGATCACACATTCAACAACAACTTCTGGTTGTGACCCAAATAGTAACGGGTACTACCCTGTGGTTCCGGTGACAATGCCTGAGGCTAACGTGAATGAAGATAACGCTATTTGGGACAATTTATGGAATGTGGATTTTGAAGGACAAGGAAGTTTTGGTGGTGCTGCTTGTGCCCCAAGGAAGCAATATTTCCAGAACATGGTCATTCCCTTCTATTAACTTGACCTTTTAAATATCTCTTATCTGCCGGATAATGAAAGAGAAAAACTTGACCGACAAGTTAGGTCGAGTTTGAGTTTAGTTTGCGGTTTCATCTATTTGAGATTTTTGGTTTAAACATAAATAGTTTTGTTATTGAATTGTGTGTGATGTAAGAAGCTCATTTGGTTTATCATAAAAGAGTGATGTAGTAGAAAGTATGTAGAAGAATGCTATGTCAATCGTAGTACAACACAACTCACTCCAATATATCAAATAAAAGTTTTGTCACTTGCATATTTTAGAGAAAAATATCTTCTTGATGAGATTACGATATTATTGTAGATTATTCCAACTTGGATTACTCTTAATGATTTTCTTGTAGATTAATAGAAAGTTTTCTGAACTTGGTTGCTTTTAATAGTTTCGGACTTATCTTTTGTGAGATATTAGTGACGTTGACGTGGATTCCAGTATGTACTTAGCTCTATATTAAAGCCTCTCGTAAACTTAATTTCATTTTTTATCTACACTCATCTGCATAGTTAGTTGGATAGTCTTCCGGATCATCATCATACACTAGTTCATTATTAATTAGAAAGTAAAATTAAACATAATATTTTTGATTTTGATCATCAAACTGAAGAAGCAGCTCGACCTCAGTTTGTAGAAGTCTTTCGAGTCTCTCTCAATGAGACTTTTGAAGAAGAGGATCTAGGTTTTGACTTTGAGGATGAGTACGAGCTTAATTTTATCTACGACAAAGGAGCTCCATCTCAGCTTGGAGAAGTTTTTTTTGTTTGAAACCAAAGTTTGGAGAAGTTGTTCCATTCTACGGGTTGTCGCGTTTATTAGTTGAGAACAATGTTAGCTTTGACTTTGATTATCAAATAGTGATGTCGTCGGTGAGAATGACATGTGTACTATTTGTTTGGAAGAGTTTGACGATGGAATAACTGAACAAGTATCGTGACTTTACCATGGGGACACGAGTTTGACGAGGAGTGTGTTATAGAGTGGTTTGTGAGAATTCATGTCCATCCATTGTGTCGTTTCGAGTTACCAGATTAAAGATGAAGGGTGAGAGAAACCGAAAAGGTTACTAAATTTTGTATAAAGGATTTGTGCAAGATCATAGTTTATTTTTATGTAAAGCATTTTCTGTGGTTCTATATATGATCTCGATTCAATTAATAGTATTTGACTCTTATTCAAGAATCATAACTATATTTGTTGGGGTCGGATTCCACCCGCGTTAAGACCGAGCCAAGACATGACACCTTGGGATCTACCACCAGAACGGCTCGGGGAACTATGACTAGGCCAGCTCGGGATCACTCGCCGAACTGGCTCGGTGAACGACGATCAAATCGGCTCGGGATCAATCACCGAATCAGCTCGGGTTAGGACATGATTAAACCGGTTCGGGTCATCCTGCGTCAGCTCGGAGACGAGACCCAGAACATCCTCACCCGAGCTGAATTCTCCCTTCGTCCCGAGCCGGTTTGACAAAATCACCCGAGACAAAGAACCAAGTCACCCGAGGCAAAAAGGACTTCGTTCACCGAGCAGATATTCATGGAGTATCCCGAGGCAAAGACTTAGTAAAAGTACCATTTCCAAGCAAGGCTTCATTTCCGAACAAGAAGGATCATTTCCGGTAAACCCGGAAATGATAAAGAAGAATCACGAAGGATCAACTTAAATCAGGAAATCTTCCAAAAACTCCGAAGAATAAGGAAATTATCCTGATCCGCGATATTCTACACCGACTTCAAGATAAATGGAAATCTTCCGAGAATATCGCTGGAGAGGCGGTTTATCACCCCTATATAAAGAGACTCAAGGCTCTCGCAGAAGGCAAGCAATATCGCTCTAGAATTTACACTACGCAAAGCTCTCATAGCACAAACATCTTTCCTTTTACGATCAAACTCTTGTACGATCAAAACTACTCTTTTCATCAATAAGATCAAGAACACCATCTTTGGTTACAATTGTTTCTGTTGTTCTTTGAGAATTCATATTTATCGTATCCCTAAATTAAAACCCTAGACAAATCTCGATTGTGTTAGTTTCGACTTCCACAGTTTGGCGCCGTCTGTGGGGATACTTTAGAATTCTCTTACCCTAAGACGCAGAACTCGATTACCGAAAAGGACGATGAACGAAGACGGTCGTCAGACACCACCAGCTGGAGGAGGGAACCCGAACCCTCCGAACCCTCAGAATCCTCAAGCCGATCCGACGATCATAGCGACTCTAGCCGAACTGAAAGACCTGATGGTTAAATTCCAGAAGAAAGCTGACGACCAAGAGAAAGCTAACAAAACCTTGGCGCAGCGAGTCGACGAAATCGCAACACGTGGGCAACAAAAAACCACGCGTTTCCAGACTCGGCCGGCACGAGCTCGGAGGGACTTGCCTGGCATCAACCCAACAAGACTCACGTTCGCGACACCAACCGACAACACCAGAGTCGCAACCCGAGCCGACCCTGCTAGACGCGAGAACCAAGATGATCCCACCGAGCCAGACGCAGTGGACGTGACGGACGAGCCAGATGATTTGCAAGACGAGCGCACCCGAGCCGGAGCTAACTCCGCCGAGCGAACGGACCTTACTGATGACGAAGAAACTGAGGAAAACATAAGGTGGGCCGAAGAATCCGAAAGAGAAGACGAGCTAAGCAAGATCCGAGCCTCCCTAGCCAAGGCGGAAGCTGATATGAAGCTCGTCAAAACCCAGATACATAGCGTTTCATCCTCCGCACCGAACATCGACCGAATTTTGGAAGAATCTCGGAATACGCCTTTCACCAAAAGAATTTCCGAAACGACGATGTCCAATCTGGGAAAGTTCAAAATCGACTCTTACAACGGATCAACCGACCCGAAGTGCCACATTAAATCGTTCGTGATATCTGTGGCCTGAGCCAGGTTCAAGCCCGGGGAAAAGGATGCAGGTCTATGCATACTGTTCGTGGAACACCTCAAAGGACCCGCATTAGAGTGGTTTTCAAGATTGGAACGAAACTCGATTGACAGTTTCGACGAGCTGTCGACACTGTTCCTCAAGCAATACTCCGTGCTCATCGACCCCGGAACCTCCGACGCGGATCTGTGGTCCCTGTCTCAACAGCCCACCAAGCCGTTAAGAGATTTCCTCACAACCTTCAAATCGACGCTAGCCAAGGTCGAAGGAATTACAGATGTAGTCGCTCTTTCGGCTTTAAAGAAAGCTCTCTGGTACAAGTCATAATTCAGGAAAGAGTTGAACCTGTCTAAACCGACAACAATTCGCGACGCGCTGCATCGAGCCTCGGATTTCGTCGCCCACGAAGAAGAGATGGCGCTGCTAGCAAAGAGGCATGAGCCAACGAAACAGGCGCCCCGAGCCGAGAAAACCGAGAAAGCCCAAGCGACACCTCCGATCCAGAAGAAGACACGTGAGAGCGGTACGTATACGCATCACGAAGGGCGCAATTTCTCAGGATACCATAACTACCAGATTGACACGCCCCGAGGCCGTGGCCGCGGTAGAGGCCGAGGCCGTGGGCGAGGAAGAGAGTCCTTCACCTGGACAAGGGATCAGCCACCGAGCAATGATCAAGAATATTGCGAACACCACAAAATTTTCGGCCACCATACCTCGAGATGCCGAAGCCTCGGAGCTAAGTTAGCAACCAAATTCCTAGCTGGAGAGCTCGGGACGAACATCACTCTTAAGGATCTCGAGCCAGAGCCAGAGCCCGAGCAGACCAACCCGGGAAGAGACCCCGAACCAAGGAACCAGGAGTCTCAGAAAAGAACCCGGGGGTCGGAAGACGAAGACCGAGATGGTACGCGGCAGAAGGTTCTTACCATAATGGGTGGATCGCCATACTGTCCTGACACCGTAGCGGCAATCAAAGCTTATCAACGCCGAGCCGAGACGCCTAGCAACTGGACAAGACGCTTCGATCGACCTAACGACGTGATCACATTCGAAGAAAGCGAGACAAACGGGCTCGACATGCCTCATAACGATCCAATCGTCGTCACATTAGCGATAGGAGACCATGATATTTACCGACTATTAATTGACACCGGCAGCACCATCGACGTAATCTTTCGCGAAATGCTCCGACAAATGAACATCGACATGTCACAAGTGATTCCGACCCCGAGGCCTGTCCTCGGATTTTCAGGAGAAACTTTGATGACGCTTGGAACCATCCAACTACCAGTCCGAGCCGGCGGGGTAACAAAGATAGTCAACTTCTCAGTCACCGATCAACCTACCATCTACAACGTCATAATGGGAACTCCGTGGTTAAATCTAATGCGAGCTGTCGCATCAACATATCATCTGTGTGTCAAATTCTCGACCCCCAATGGCGTGAAAACGATCTGGGGCAGTCAGAAAAATTCTCGGATGTGTTTCATGGCAGCACACAAACTCCGAAACCCTGTCACTGAAGCGAAGGCTGAAACCGATCACAAGAAATCAAAACTTGGCCGGAGTGAAGAGAAGGCTATATCTAAACAGTTATAGCAATTACAGATCGAGGAGGCGCGCGAGGAGAAGAAGCCTACCTCGGATCCTATAATCTCCATTAGCCTCGACGACGAACGGCCCGAACGATGCGTGGAAATTGGCAGCGACTTAACCGAGGAAATCAAGACCGAGCTCATCTCATTCCTCAAAGAGAACATCAACACCTTCGCCTGGTCAGCTGAAGATCTACCTGGGGTAAGCATCGACGTAATCTGCCACGAGCTGAATGTTGACCCATCTTTCAAGCCCATCAAGCAGAAGCGAAGAAAATTGGGTCGGGATCGCGCAGATGCCGTGAACGCCGAAGTAGAAAAGCTCTTGAAGATCGGCTCGATCTCCGAAGCAAGATATCCGGACTGGTTAGCAAATCCTGTCGTGGTTAAAAATAAGAACGGCAAGTGGAGAGTCTGCGTCGATTTCACCGATCTGAACAAAGCTTGCCCTAAAGACAGTTTTCTACTCCCACATATCGATCGCTTAGTGGAAGCAACCGCGGGAAATAAGTTGCTATCATTCATGGATGCTTTCGCAGGATACAATCAGATTCTCATGCACCCCGAGGATCGCGAGAAGACAGCATTCATCACAGACCGAGGTATCTACTGTTACAAAGTCATGCCCTTCGGACTCAAGAATGCTGGCGCAACGTATCAACGGCTCGTCAACAGGATGTTCTCCGAGCAGCTCGGGAAGACGATGGAAGTTTATATTGACGACATGTTAGTCAAATCCCTTGAAGAAAGCGATCACATAGCCCATCTACGCGACTGTTT